GTAAAGATCGTAAAAACGAAATATTCTCAGCTATAGTTTGCAAGCATATTTGAACGAAATAGTTTTCGCTACATATTTAATATGTAGCAAAAGTTATAGCCAATATATCCAACCGCTGAGAGCAGAACTATCCTCAATTTCGAAAGGGTTTTCATGGAAAGAGAATGTCTACCGCAATGTCCCAACGCGTGTTGCCTAACTCCTCATGTCTTCGAAATATTTTTTAAACAAGCAGGATTGTGCGCGATGATTTCCTTAACTGTCGAGCACGTGGCAAATCAGCATTGAAAATATAATAATTTCAAATAACTGATCACTGCTGGCTGGAATCGAACCCATATTGCTCGTGTACTGTAAAATGTACAGCTTCTGAGCTACTAAGAATAATTTTATATATAAAAAATGAGTATTAGTTTGTTCTTCTATCCGTTGCTATATGATTCTCACATTATGATAAAACTTTAATGACGTCGTACATGCCTCTGCGAACTATTTTGACAAAATGAGAAAAATATTTGCTTGTTTGTCTTCAATACATTCCCATACGATTGCGATAAAACTTCGGGTAGTTGTTGTTTTTAGTTGTTTGATTAGTTGTTGTGCACGCTTCCATGAAGTTCTCTAACAAAAAACAAACAGTGTAACGCATGCGGGCACAGCTAGTTATACTACTTTCTATAAACTATTTGGACTCATGTGAGCTTATCTTCAAATAAAAAAATTGTGTGATCAGTTTCGTGTTAAATTTATCGAAATATACAAAACTTTCAGTTTTCAAATTTGATATAGCTGCATGGCATGGCTGTAGTGAGTTTAAAGATGTTGTGGTAAAGGGCTTGGAATCCATGGCTTATTCAACCATAACGAAGCTAAGAGAAGATCATATTATGACAGTGTATGGTGTTTTAACACAGTTTTCGGTTCCTCCTGTAATGGTTCCTCTGGATCAGTAGTATCAATGGACGTTCCTACGGGCTCGATTCTTGGCCCATTCCTGTCCTTAGTCTATATTAATGACTTACCTTATCTTGTAGGGGACAATCACGATATAGTATTATTTGTCGATGATACCTCTTGAATTTTCAAACTCAAACGACAGACAACTAATTTTGACACTGTAAATCATGCTCTATCGAAGTTGGTACATTAGTTTTACGCCAACAACCTCCTCTTAAACGGCAATAAAATACAATTAATTAAATTTATTATACCTAATGTTAAACAATCAAATGCCAATGAGCTCTTAAATAGAGAAGAGTTGTCTGGTGGAAACCACTGTTTTTCTTGGTATTACTATTGACGCGAAACTTCAATGGGGCTATATATAAGTTAGCAGGCAGACTTACTTCTTCTATGCTGTAAAAAACATTAAAGTCTCACAGATGTTGAGATAGCTAAATTAGTTTATTTTAGTTACTTTCATAGCGTAATGTATACATATCTTTATACGAGGTAGAGCCACGCTGCAGCTATATTAGTAGTATAGTTGTAGTACGAATGGGTCGGCTCGACCGGGACCGGGACCTCGCTCTCACAGAATACCAGCGTCAAATAGCAGTTTAACACTGCTGTGTTTCGTATGGTGAGTGTAAAGAACCGGTCACCCTTTTTACTGGAAAAGAGGCATTCCATCTTAGTCCTCACGGGTGACAACGCATCTGCATTTTGATTCTTTATTGAATATATCTATGGGTCACAGCAACCACTTACCATCAGGTAGACTGTGTGCTCGTTTGTCACTCGATCCTATAAAAAAATGTCTTATGGAATTTTGCTATGGGGTGATACGAGCCATATTGGTCTTGAAAAAAGGAGCCGTACGATTTATAATTTAAATTGTAAAGAGTCCCTCAGATTTTTTTAAAAGAAATAAACATATTAACTTTGGCATAGCAATATAACTATGAAAATATAATGTATGTGCATATGTGCATAAAACATAAAAAGCTTCAGTAAGAAAAAGGATGTTCATACTTTAAACACTAGGAACAAACATAAGCTTGTAATGCCAGTTACTAGAATCCACAGTATCAGTAATTCATTTATGGGGAAATGTACGCTTTTACAACAATATTCCAACATGTTCAAAGTTTGTCAATAAACGAGTTTAAACATTTTATTAAAGAAAAACTGCACAGAAAGGGTTATTACTGAAAATTTCGGGAATCAAGGAAGTGACACAACATTACTATTTAAAAATGTATTTATTGTTTTTCGAAGTATTCTCCGCTAAATTTGACACATTTTTCCATACGATGGAACCAGTTGATGAAAATCTCTGTCCACGCAATTTATTCTTTATTTTAGGTAAAGTATAGAAATCATTAGGGCTTAGGTCGGGGCTGTACCGCGGATGGTCTAATAATTCTATGTTTTCTTGCTATAAGACTCTTTTATTCTGTGTGTGGTGTGAGAACTCGCATTGTCGTGATGGAGGATGATGCGGAGGTTGCAGTTCTCTTTACGGAGTTCAGAAACGACCTCTGGCAAACAAATGCTAGCATACTATTTTGCATTAACCGTTCTTTGTCCTTCAAGAGGAATAGTCGTAACATGGCTGGTTTTGGAGACAAACGTGGCCACCATTTTTTTTGCAACACTCCGTGAACGAACAATTTTTGTTGGCTTTAACTCATTTTCGAACACCCAAACTCGTGACTGGTTTTTTGTTTCGGGTTCGTACGCATATATCCAGGATTCGTCACCTGATACGATGTTGTATACAGCATTTGAGGATTCTACGTGGAATCTTTCGAGAGTTCTGACGCACCAAGTAACACGAGCCGCTTTTTGCTCTTCACAAAGCGAATGCGGTATCCATCGGGAAAACAACTTTTTTACACCTAATTGTTCATGCAATATTATTTATATTTAACTCATGCCAATGTCTAAAGTTGCTTGAATTTCGCGGTATGTCACATGTCGATCTTCCTCAATCAGCTTACGCACAGCATCAACGTTTTCTTGGGTGACTGCAGTTTTTGGACGACCTTAACGGGGATCATCACTGAGCTTGACACGTCCACGTTGAAATTCAGCAAACCAGCCATAAATTGTGGTTTTGGATGAGGCTTCATCACCAAATGCAGAAATCATCCGGTCAACACACTGTTTTTGTGTTAAACCACTTCGAAATTAATATATATAGTATAAGAAATAAGTCATCGCTCTTGAATTTTCTCGAGTCACTTCCATTTTCTCAACGACTAAACAAGTTTGATCTCGTAAAACCTTGTGACAAAACCGAGAATCTTTTAAAAAAAAATTGTATTCGATTTTTAAAACCAAGGAGTTTTCAATTAAAAAGATTTTAATATGACAGGAACAGTGGAAATATTCCATTCCCGATACTTTTAGTGCAGCCTATGCATAATATCAAGGAATACATGAATGAAAATAACTCCTAGGAGTAAGGTGATCGCCACCACGCTGGTTCTATGAAAATTCATTTAATGAAAAAAAATTGTATAAACTAAATTATTGTAAGGTGAAATATGTTTAAAAAAAGTCCCGCTGGGTTTCCTGCTGGTTCTTCCCAGGAAAAAGGTATTTTCCAAACCAATGGTAAATAAATAAATTACTTTCAATATGTAAGTATTATGTAATAATCTATATTTAATAAAAATTATTCTATTCTATTCTATTATATTTGATGATAAACTACGTTTCCAGCAAAACGCTGCAAGCTGCGTTGGATTGTTTTGAATTTAGTCTAGACTATCAAACTTCCTTGACTATTGTAATTTTGCGTAAGTAAATTTAAAAAAATCATCTGTTGTATTCCAAACAATAATTTTTACATAATTTAAGGCATTACTAATCGAACTCACTTACCGTCTTCTACTCCTATTATTGTAGGTGGCCCAGTTCAATGATGAATGAAATGTGCCAACCCGAATACACATACAAACACTTGATCTCCATTACAGCCTATTAAAGTCCAATGCTGAACATAGGCCTCCCCTATAGATTGCATCACAGTAGGGATACTTGTCGTAGTTGTCACGTTTGACAAGCTCGTTGAGACATCCGCAGCTATTTATTTTTTAGTTTTAGTTGTTATTAGGAACACGCTGCTGCCCATCTCCTGATTTATTTCTCTCTATCACCTCTTGCAACACTCACGGGATATTATGACTATCGATCTATACAAATTCTTAATCTTTACGTCAAAATACGTACATGAGATTTATATATATTTTTATTAATAGTCTATTATGAGCTCAGTTCAGTGATTACATTATGTCGAGTTAACGTCTTATAGCTGTTCAATATTACGCCCTGTAGTTTTGTGGCGTAGTGGCTTAGCTATTAGTTACAGCAATGAAGAGCGCGGACTCGAACTCCGTACGAAACAAGTATTTGTACACCACAATTAATTGTTCCAGTTCTGGATGTTTGTCTGTTAACTACCTCCACAATACAAGAGAAAATCTTAGCGTGGTAGTAACGTTTATCAAATAGAAAAGTAGTTTTAGTTCATAGTCTTAATTTATAGATTTAGAAGATTGGTATATTTTTTAACAGAATCACACAAAGAAAATTCTCAGTACCTATAGCAAGGATATCAAAGGCACAAGAAAAATTACTATCTTTATTTAGGAAATATATTTTATCTAGGAAAAGTCTTTGACAAGTTTTATACAAACTATAATTTATTTTAAAAGGACTTGCTTAAACAAATGTATTTTATTCGTTCTTATGTATAAAGCTTTCGGGGTGTAAAAATAAAAATAAATTTTCAAAATTAATACATTTTATTTTATTAGTGAAAATCAACCTATTGTTATTTATGTTTCATATTTTAGTTTTATTTTAATAATAGAAGTTCATCGTAATTTCCCTTGGTACCTCGTCTTGGTAGGAAGATTCGCGATAACGCAATACTACATATCTCGCACCATTGATGCTGCTTACCGGCGGCGCACAGAACAACAATTTTACAATAGTCATAATATTTTAATATTTTTAAATACTTCCACACGGACCTTACCTTAGACTTACAAATCAAGGAAGCAACTATTGAGTTCTTTGTCATTCATTTTCACAAGTCTAACTGATTCTTCCCACAGCTGCTTTGCAACTTTCTTGTCGTAAGCACTCCGGTGCGCTGTTGCCTGCTTGCAGTTTTTGAAGAATTCCCCGCTGACTTCACCTGCCTTCTTATCCATCGCCACGTGGATAGCAGTTTGAGCTCCTTCCCATGGTGTTTTACACAAAGTATAACACAGAAACTTTATAATTACTCCTCTGATGGAACCTGCCGAATAATAAATATTTGTCCCAACTAGACCGGGGTCTACAGAATTGATAACGACATGTGTGTCCCTGCTGTCCCTCAACCTACAAGTAAGTTCTCGAGCGAACAATACCAGTGCTAGCTTACTGTGACCGTAGATTTGAATCTTGTACCAATAATTAGTTTTGTTTAAATTTTCCAAATCGATCTTGCCAATATTGTGAAGTATTGATGACATGTTTACTATCCTAGTTGGTTCCGAAGGCCTTCCTGTCTTCTTCAAAAGTGGCAGAAGTAATAGCGTTAAGAGGAAATGTCCAAAATAGTTTACTTGCATTATAAAATTCAGGCCGTCTTTGGTTAGAAAATCACCGACAATACCAACTCCAGCGTTGTTGACTAAAATGTCAAGTCTGTCTTCAGTGTTCATAATGTCTGCTGCAAACTTCCGCACGGAATCCAGGGAGGCAAGGTCGAGGTATTTATAAATCACTTTTTCGCTGCCGGTTTTGTCATTAACCGTTTTTATAGCGCTGGCTCCTTCGTCAGAGTAAGGGCATGCTATGATCACCTTGGCGCCTCGGTCGGCGAAATCGATAGCAATTCTTAGGCCAATGCCAGTGGTGCCGCCAGTGATGATGGTGGTCTTCCCATCAAGTCTTTTCTTCGATTTGCACATAGCGTTGGTGTTTTTCTGATAGAGTCCCACCATCACAGCCAGCAATATTATCACCACAACAATGTACAAGATCGCGAACATTTTTGCGTTCTTCTCGCCACGCTACAACTAATTACTTTAAAGTGGTACTTCAACGCTTATAAATTACTTGATTTCTAACAAAAAAACACTCTCCCACATTACGAATTCTATGCGATAATTGATCATTTGTCTCCATTCTATTAAATAAATTTAAATTTTAATGTGAAGTGTTCGTCCTTGCGTTTAAGTTCCGTTAAAGTGTTGATACTGTTCGTCAATTTCAGGATTCAAAACTGAGTGTACGCATAGCTCGGCTCTAAGCCTAAGCAGTCAGTTGCTGCACCGGTTGAGAATTACGTTGGTTCGCGACGGTTATTCTATTAATAGATACCGGCTTTGATTATACCTGTCTACTGTACCGAATGGTCCAAATAAAGTCTACTATAATTGGTAGAATCGCTTCTCACTTTGTCAGTGTCATTTAAATCACTTAAGGATAACGTGCACACGAAAAATAATGAATTATGCCCGTTTGAGCTGTCAAATTGTGTCGCAATTATGTGAGAAAACCGTATAATAACACCTATTATTTTAAGTATTATTTTAAGAAATCACGATTTCTTAATTCGTTATTTTGTAGGTTTGTCTCATTAGCTGGTGTTGGCGAAATCATGGGCGACAAAATACAAGTATAATTTCATCATCTTTATTATTTAAAAAATTACATTATGTATTTGATCAGTACATGATAAATTACCTAGAGAAATAAATGAAACTTGTGACGTAATGCACTAAATAGTAGTGTAGTTAGTTATTTCCAATATTTTGGGTTTTAGATTTCCTACGGATTCCGTACTAACAAATCGCTGGAGAGACATTATACAACGGACACAAAATAAAGACCAGTGGAAACCTCACAAGACTTCATTGACAGTGTCAGTGACTTATGTAACATAATTTTAAATAATAAAGTAGACCTATGCTTTGCTACGGAGGCAGGGCAGACATGGCAAACGCTCTGTCTTGGTGAAAATATTCCACTGGAAGTTAACCAACAAAAACAGTGGGATGTTCCGTTGGTACAGGGCGTGCAGAAAGATTTGTTTCATAATTTCCATAGTGACCAAGATAAGGCACGCCTTCTAGCTGTTTCGACTAAGGAATCTAGTCACTGGTTACACGCCTACCATCAAGTAATCTCGGCACATTACTTGATAGGGAAAGCTTGCGTATTGCCGTAGGAATCCGACTAGGAGCAGCGATTTGTCAACCCCATCAATGCCCCTGTGGTAGCAGCGTCGACAAGTTTGGGCTCCACGGACTTTCATGTAAGAAAAGCGCTGGTAGGTTTTCACGACACAGTTCTTTGAATGATGTCATCCGAAGGGCTCTTGCCTCTATAAATGTTCCCTCGGTTTTAGAGCCTTGTGGAATATTTAGAGACGATGGCAGGAGACCCGACGGTATGACATTGGTCCCTTGGGAGAGAGATAAAGCCCTAGTATGGGATGCTACTTGCGTAGACACTCTGGCGACCTCTCATCTCAGGGGTACCTCGTTTAAAGCCGGGGCGGCATCAGAGGCAGCTGAACTGAGTAAGTGGCGCAAATATTAGTCTCTGAGAGATCACTACATATTTGTGCCATTTGCTGTAGAGACTATCGGTCCGTGGGGTCCACGTGCGGTGAAGTTCCTAAAGGAACTCCATCCGCGGCTGGTCGTTGCTGCTGGTGATAAGAGGGCTGGTTCTTTCCTCGCTCAAAGGCTAAGTATAGCCATTCAGCGGGGAAACGCAGCCAGCGTTCTTGGCACGATACCGCGGGGAGTAGGACTATATGATAATTAAGTTTCTAGTTTTAGTTTTTTTTTATTATCATAGTTTTTAATATGGTAGATAAAATTAAGTATTATGTAATATTTAATATGTTCTAATAAAAAAAAAATTACAATAATAATTACAATCGCTACCAAGCTATTTCTAATTTTTTGTGTTGTTGTGTTACAGGATTGTAGGCTGTTATTTAAAAAAAAGTCCCGCTGGGTTTCTTGCTGGTTCTTTCAAGGACAGAGGTTTTTTCAAACCAGGGGTAATTAAAGAAAAGAGTGAATTTCAATAAGTATTATTTATAATTTATATTAAAGAAAAAAAGTTTCTGTTCCTGTTTCAATAATAAACATTAGTTTTTAATTTGATTCATTTATTTTTAACAGGACCCGTCCCCATTTAATATGGCGGTTGATATTCAAAATCAAATTATTGCACCTAAACCTTCGTGCACGAAGTAGCCGGTGAGTGCTAATGACGAGCCAACGATCGTTTTACAAGATTTTTCAGACTTGAAATCGATATTTGATAATTCACACAAAATCAAGTTACGGCGTACATTAGGTTGCAAGATAATACTGGAACGCAAACATAAGCTATCATTAATTCATTAAGAAAAAAAATTTCGTCTGGAAAAGCAGAATATCTCTTTCAAATGTATTATTAAGACTTTGAAAACACAAAGAGTGAAGATGTACATAATGTCCTAGAAGAAAATTTATTTGCCGCTAATTTATACTCGCAAAAGCCATAAAAAGGACAAGGTAACCGGCCTGCTAAGTACTCCCCGTAATTTTTGAAATTTTTTTTGACATTGTATGTTTTTTTTTACACTACTCTATAAAATTTTGTTCAACTTTCATCTTATTAAACAAGTATATAATCAAGGCCTCGGCCGTTTGCTCTACCCTACTGAGGGCCCCCATCTGGTTGGGTATTATTTTTTTATTTATGTATTTTATTTTATTGATATTTATGTATATTTATCATTTTCATTTTTATATTTATAAAACTATAATTAAAAATACATAAATACCAAACTAACCATATAAATACCAAAAAAAATGAATAATGCTATTTATTCGCTAAACATGTTACATTAAAGATGACAAATAGTTGTACATAGTATAAATGCGAAAATTATTTAACATAATATATTAAATCATTATTTTCATAAGTAAGCAAGTCACTATTTACATAATTAAAATCAAATTAAATTAAACAAATTAAAACAACAATTTTCATGTCAATCATTATTATTTTATAACTAGTCAAATCAAATTAAGTATTTATAGAAGAAAAAATGTCAAATGAGTATGTACTTAATCCGTAGATAGAGTATTGACTAGATAAAGCATTCGCGTATGCTTTTGAGATAGAAATAGGTGTGAGGTACTTTCACTGGGTTACCAGATATTGTTCCATTTCCCCCGTTATGGGTTTATTTATATTCACAGCACTTACATTCTTACAAAAAACTTAATTGTTACCATAAAAAATGTTCTTTATAATTGAGATGATTAATTAATTTCTCTTGAAAATACATTCTGTGACAAAAACTACGGGCGGAAACGGCGTAAAAACAGAATCATCATTCTGTATTCAACGGCGCATCGACGATTTTACTGGACATTCAATAAACTCCTTGGATTTTGAAGAATTTGTGAAGGCACTAATAGCACAAAGTGTGATATCGCTAATAAATAACAATATGTTATGTATGTACTTAAATATTAATAAACTACTACTAAAATTTCCTTGTGTCGAGTTTTGTTGTTTTTACAAAAAAAATCAATAATGTTTTAACATACCATTCCATCACAAGTTCAGTGCTGAACACAGACCTTTGAAAGGAAAGGGTTTCCACTTAAGTTTTGTAGTACAAAACACGGTTATGAGCCTGTTCCCGCGATTTCCTGCATGTTTTGTTAAGTTAGTGTCTTGTGTGCGGCAAGTTGTGGCGTACAAGAGAATTTGTCTGTACACGAGATGATATTACCCCGCGTCATAAGCAATAATACAAGATGGGGAAATAAAAAAAAAACTGCGGTGGCCAACCAGCATAACGCATATTTTCACGCAGCCGTGGCAACTATGGCAAGTCATCCTATGAGGATATCTATGGAAGGCCTTTTTTAGGTGACTTACTTATGGTTAGGTGGCTTAATCATGTTACCTAATGGTTAAGATGGTAAAATGTTTTAATTAATATACGTTGTAAAGCATCAACAAAGGATTTTTTTTGTAATATGTTGGTATATAAAATAAAAACGAATGTTTTATAATATTCTATTTTAATTTACCATGCAGTGTAAGATTATCTGCTACCTCATATCATTCCATGGGTGGTGTATGAGGCGACGTAGGGAAACATCAAAGAAGATAAACAGCAGCATTGTCCTGATAACAACTAAATAATGGTTGACAACCCGCTTTCCAAGCGTTGAAACTATGCCAAATAACTATAATCATGTTTATGTTCAACAGTGGACTTTTGATAGACTGTAGAGATATATATTCTATTCAAATGAAAATATATTGAAATTAAAAAAGGAAAAAGAACAAAATTTTGTGTACTTACACAACATTTAGAAATATTAACAATGTTACATTAAGTAAAAGGAATGAAAACACAATTATATATTAAATATAATTCAATAAATCAAAATAAACAAACGATTACTTATTAATTTTTGATCACATTAATAAACAACAAATTTAACAAAATTTTTGTCTTCTTTCCTTGTAATTCTTCGTTGTAATTCTTGGTTTGAGTAGCTTTAGAATTTCTCAAAAATGTGCATTTGTAAACTTGATTTATACTTTTGCATGGCAAAAATTCTTGGGTGCTGGTCGTGGTATATATATATATATATATATATTATTTGCCTTGTATATAATATATTTTAATGGTATAAATAATAAGCTACAACTCCTAAACTATACTTAGAAAAGTAATACTTATCTCTTGTCAAAAACATCTTTATTACATTATTTTTATGACAATTAAATAGAAATTATCATAATTATTACATTTATTTCTTAATTTATTTACACATTAATGTTTATTACACCTTTATAAAAGGGATTAAGGGTGGACTAAATGTCCTATTGGTAGGCATTCCCAGTCAGTTTTACAATTATTATTGCATAATAAATTATTCATTTTTATATTTATGCCAGGACTTTAAATTACTTATTTCTTTATTTTATTTAAATCTTTATTTGCATAAAA